AGGTGTATTGAATGCATTTTTGACTTAGGATATTTTCAGTTTACGTTGGGTTTATGAGGATGTAACCCCAAAGAAGTTGAGGAAGGTCTGTAGTTTTACACAAATCTCACTTGAAGTGTTACTGTAATCGACAGAAATGTGTTGTTTCTGATAGGTGTGCTGGGCAGAGAAAAGACTGCAAATCATTGATCTAATGTCACAATTGTGGACAAGTCACTGGACAATCCTAGTCATCTGTAGCAGAGAACTACAAGATTCTAGGAGACACCATAGAGAACTTGTTCCAGGTCCATTCTGCCCATCTCAGGAATAGAGGTAAAGATCTTCATTCCACAGATTACCAGTTTTTTTAATCTGTAAAATGACATGCTATTTCTGTTGTGTTTGTCATGTGGATAGTACTGGTATTTGGCCAGAGATCTAGGGTTGCAAATCCGTGAATTCTTTGTGGCTACAGCCATTTCTTGGGATGGTCCCAAGAGAAATAAATGAATGAAGGTCCAGGTAAGGCAAAGCACATTTAGCATTTCCATAGAACTCTTGGCTCAAACCTCAATAGTGCTACTTGTCAAGTTAATTAGACTCATCTTTGCCTAAGCTGCCACCACCACAGCTCTGTCTCCTGCCCCTTTCCCAGCTCTGTCCAGCCTTGGCTTCTGTACCATTCCATTCTCAAGACCAGGGGAAGCAAATCCAAGGCGGTGCAAAGTAGAGAATGTCTTTTTAGGATTTAGCATATCTGCGGTTTAACCTGTAAGCCCCAGGGGAGCATTCTCAGCCACATAAGGAGAAGAGTCACTTACTTAGGCTTGGAGCTTTAATCTCTTGGTTATGTCAAGAGCTCTAGTTCCTGGTACTTTAGGTCTGTTAAGGTTTTTGAATATAACCCAAAAAGAATGAGCAGGGCAAATAGAGAGGAAGAGGCCAGTATGTTAACAATTATTGAGACAGGCTGGAAGAAATATTGCAAGGTGGTCAGGAGAGGTGGCTCTGACGCCAGACTGCCTGGATTAAAACCTTATTTCTGTCACCTTATAATTTAGTCAAGTTACTTAATGACTTTGTGCCACCTGTGAAATGGTGAAAATAATATATGACTTATGAGAATTCAATTACTTAATAGAGGCAAACATTTATTTGTTTTAAGTGCTTAATAAATGTTTGTTGTCATTGTCCAGACATACCATGTTGCCCTTCCACCGTAACCTCACACAGCCGTGTTTCTAGGAAGTGGTCATCAGTGTCCAGAAAAACAAAGTTTATTAGTGCATTCATAGTAGACTCAGGTAGACCTGTTTGTCCTAACCACTCACAGTTAACTGATTTTAAAACTAGGCAGCCAATATATTAAGCTATAGTGGAAGGTACAATGTACTAGAGATCTGGAATGTTTTGGTCTAATTATTTGGTCAGTTCTTTCCATGAAGAAAAACTACATGAGATGGGAAATAAAATTATAATCAGAAAGTCAAATGAAAAACATAAAATTAGATTATGAAGGTATTACGTAGGGTGTTCAACTTTGATGACCAAGTGCATCCATCATCTTAGAGCAAACATATATGTTGGTCAGTGAGAACTATCTTTATCAAATGGCACAGAAGACACAGGCAAAACTGTTGCTTTTAGGGCTTCTGTTTTCCAGACTCCAAGTAGCCTGTCTCCCTTCCCATGAATAGTTTTCACTTTCAGATAAAATAACTAAAATGGTTGGTTTTCAGATTTATTAGCTGCAATCATGTTTTAGTTTCCTAAGTGTTCGTGCTGTTTTCCCTGATTTAATTCAGAAGTTGCTAAATCTCAGGTGCACAATTATAAACACCCTTGTAGAGCAGTGCTTCTCAAGTGTTAATGAGCATAATGAGCACCTGGACATCTTGCTGAACTGCAGAATTTGACTCAGTAGGTCTGGGATGGGGCCTGAGATTCCATGTTGCTAGCAAGCTCTAGGTGATATCAGTGTGGCTGGTCCATAGATAAGCTGTGAGTAGCAAGTTTGTAGGTTACTTGTACGGATCCTAACGCCTCTAACTTTGTCCTGACTGTTAGTAAATATTATTTTTAAGTTCTGGAAGTAGCATATGAAGTGGGCAGGGGGAGTCATTTGCTGTTGCACACAAGGGACTCCTCTTTTGTATACTAATAGCACATGACTTCTCCTATCACTTCATATGGCTCTTATTCGAACGTTTGTGGGAGTGCTTTGTAAACTGTCAAGAGTTATACAAACTCAGTGGCTCGTTATGCGTCATTAACCACCTCTTAATAAATAAATCCTCCTGGCTATGTAGATTGTCCACGTCAGAAGAAACTTCCTGGGTAAGCAATGCCCATTATTTATAGCATCTGCCCTTGTATTTTGATATAGGAGTTCATTTGAATTCATTCTTGTTTTCTGTCTGTGATTTCTAGCCCAGGGAGCACCCTTCCCAAAGAAGAGTCAGGTCTTTTGTTCTTGTTTCCAGTTTCTGTGGAGGGTGACTCCCTATCTCTTTGAACAAATTGCCAAATGCATTTTTGGTACACCACAATCTGTTTTAAGTCAATGTTTCAAACGTATGTTCCATATTTGGGAAAAATCTGTTTTGTTATTTTCACTTGATGGAAAATAAACAGATCATACTTGCTTGATTTTCATACATTACTTTTAGACAGTTTTATTGAGTCATCATCATAACAAGTACCATTTTTTTGAGTTCTACTTTGTACCATGAACTGTTAGGTAGTTTACACACATTAACTTTTTTCCTAATCATTGAAAGGCACCTGAAATGTGAGGACAGGTTCAGGTAAGCTGTAGTAACAGATTCCCCTAGAAATTCAGCAGTTTAGCCAAACATTTATCACCCAGTCATGCAAAGTCCAATGCTGGTCAGGAAGGATTCTTCATCTTATGAGGCCATCATCTTGATTTGTGCCTGGGTCTTAATTTATATAGGTGACTGAGTGACAATATAAGAGATCAATGCTGTTGAAAGAAAAGTTTGTTGTTACTCTCAATTCCCCTAGAAATAAGAGGCATGACATTCCAAGCAGGGCCACCTAGGGAAAGACCAGAGTTAGTTTGGAGGTGGAAGTAGGAATAAGGGGAAAAGCATAGATTCAGAGCCTTGATGGTGTTTTCATGGGAAAGGCAAGGCAGGGCAGGGAAGCTGCTTTAGGACTGCTCTCAATAATGTTGGTGGGCCCTGGGCTGTCGCAGTGGTCTCTAGTTCCTTGGTACCTGGCTCTGAGTGATTTTAGACAGCAGAAATCTTGTCTTGGTCTGTGAGAATTAGATAGAAAAGGTAGTTGGGGATATGAATATGGGATTGGTTGTAGAATTTGTGACATGATATTTTTGTGTGTGCTCTTGAAAGCTGGATCACAGAGGGGATGTAATTGGCCATTAGTTTGGTTCTGATTCAATTGATAACACATAGACAAATGTAGAATCTATGAAAACATGGAATACTTTCAACACATGGCTTCTGAGTTTACCATAGCTTGAGGAGACAGAGCCAGAAGTCCCCATGGGATGTCTTAAAAGATCAAATCTCCCTGTCCACATCCTATTGCTAATGGCCTCTAGCTCATTCCTTGGAAAGCTGAGAAATGTAGTCTTTCTGTTGATTAGGGTGAAAGGAAATAAGATAGGATTTGGTGAATACGTCTTTTGTCTCTGCCATACTATAGTTACCTCCAATTTATTAGAGAATAAACTGAGGTTCCAGTAGATTGTGATTTATCCAAACTACTCATCTTTAGAATAGAAAAGCCAGGGGTTGAGTTTAGACATTCCAAAGTCATCATCTTTCCAAGTATCACATGACCTCTGAATTGAATGTGATAATCCTGACCATGAGGGATAAAATGGGACTGATTATATTTGACTTCTTTACAACTGAGAAAGCACTGGAGTTATAATTAGTGTGAAAGTCATAACATAACTGAGCTAAGAGTTTAGGAACCAACTGGGTCTTAATCTGCCATTCAGAGCATTAAACACAAAGAAAAGTGCCTGACTTTTCAGTTGAATTGTCAGATTTGGAAGATCAACAGCCAGGGGCTTAAATGAACCTGGTAAGTAACAGTTAACAAAGACCTTTAATTTTTCTCTGAAGAGAGAGATAGGAAGAGCACAATCTTATCACCATCAGGTACTTTTTGGTGGAGTAGGTTCCTGAGAGTCTGGCCACCACTGCCAGTGCTACCTTGAGAACACAACTGGAGAGTCATCGTCAACATTGTTGATGGTGAGGTCGAGGAGGATGCAGTCCAACACACTGGTGCAGAAAGTCCCCAGTTTTCACCACAGTGAGTTCCTGGAAATTATGTCATAAAGCAAATATAAAGCATAAGACGTGGATCTTATTTTGCCAAATTAACAAGGCTGCACATTGCAGGAAATTTGTCCTACTGGTGAAGAACCAAATATCAATTAAGTCAAACGTATGACTAGATGATTTTTGAAAACAAAGGTATATAAAATTCTGTTACAATTTAAAAATAGTAAGGCCGTATTCTAGATTCTATAAATTGGACCCAAATTGGAGTTCACCTTGAATCTGGAGAGGATTGTATCTCTATAGCACATAAATTTTATCTCTACTGTTTTATACATTTAACCCCAATCTGCTAGTTAGCAATTAGTACTTTTACTTCAGACTTCAGAATGTAGAGTTTTGTTGAGATTATCCAGGTGGTTCAAGTGTCTTTAAGAACCTGTCTAAGAAAGTGTGAGGTGAAATAGATAGATAGATAGATACAGATTTTTTTCCCCTATGAAAAGGAAAGTGAAGTTCCCAATATTAAGTATGCGTTTTCAGAATCATCCGTTGGATTGGCTGAGTAGAGGGAGAGGTGTGCCAGGGAAATGTGGGGTGGTCTGCAATAGGAAAATGGCAAGGACTGGCCCTGGACTTAGAGCCAGGGCAACTAAGACGATAAATTCCTCCCTTAGGCTTGGTAACAATTTA